CTGAGGCCGAATCCACCCTCTTTATCCTTCAAAATCCAAGGAAAATGCCCTTCGAAAAAAATTGCTCAAATAATTACGAAAATGCCACCCAAAATATATTGGCCCAATTCGGTGCTTAATTGACTTAATCATCGGCGCAAAATAGGATCAATAGACTTTATTATCGGCGGAGACTAGCCTCGAGCCGAATCCGTGATATGTAGCCCCCAAAATCGAAAAAAAATGGCATTTCGGAAAAATTGCCCTAATCTGTGATGGTACACCCGTCCCATTGCCATCCCTAAGAGCATCCACATTGGCATTTCATTCTCAATTGCAAAATGACATGTCATAGCTGTTTACAATTACAAAACCAATTGCATTGATGTGACTACCAATTGCATATTTGCAAGTTTGCAACAAATGCAATTCCATATGCAAGTCAAAAAAGCCTACAAAAATGGATTTATTTTATTTTATTTTATTTTATTTTCTCTTTTACTTAATTTTATATAATTTAAACATAATATTTAATTACATTTGCAATTGCAAGTTAATTGCATTAATATAGGTGAATGAAATGAATGTGATGTGAATTGCAAAAAAATTGAGTTGACAATAAAAAACACAAATGCAATTTCTTTTGCAATTGCATTAATTTAATGGTGTTTCATATAGGGACTAGATACTATGACAACACTCCTTGTGTTGTTATTGTAACAACACTAGTCTCCAACCAATAGGAAGCTAGGATTGTGATGACTTTTTATTAGATGAGTTGACCTAGTGTAAAATCAAAACAGGGGTATAATTGTCATTATGAAAAACCTGTTAAAAAAATAAAAAATAAAATAAAATAAATTAATTTTTTTATTTTCGGCCCAAAATTTTGGTCGCCGGAATTCGGCCATCGGTCGCCGGAATCTGGACGCAGGTCACCGGAATATGTTTTTTTGTCGCCGGAATATGCCACCGTCGCCGGAATATGCTCACCGTGATCGGAATATGCTTATCGGCGTCGGAATCTAGTCATCGGGGCCGGAATATGCTTATCGGCGCCGGAATCTACACACTGATGGTCATCGGAGTTTGGTCAACGGTCTTCGTTGACCGGTCAACGGCCAACGACCACCGGATGTTATGGTCTGCATTGTGAGATTTATGGTTTGGTTTCTCATATTTTTGTATGCTTTTTGTGGTTTGCTTTATCGTGTTTGTGGTTTGCATTAAGAAGTTTCTGGTTTGCTTTATTGTGTTTGTGGTTTGCATTAACACGTTTTTGGTTTGCTTTCAAAAATTTTGTGGTTTGCTTTGCGGGGTTTCTGGTTTGTTTTAATAGATTTTTGGTCTGCATTGTGACGTTTCTGGTTTGTTTTTGTGGTTTGCTTTATCGTGTTTGTGGTTTGCATTATGAGGTTTCTGGTGTGTGTTTTAAAATTTTGTGGTTTGCTTTGCGGGGTTTCTGGTTTGTTTAAGTAGATTTTTGGTCTGCATTAGGACGTTTCTGGTTTGTTTTTTTGGTTTGCTTTAACGTGTTTGTGGTTTGCATTATGAGGTTTCTGGTGTGCTTTCAAAATATTTGTGGTTTGGTTTGCGGTGTTTCTGGTTTGTTTTAGAGAATTTGTAGTATGCATTAGGAGGGTTCTGGTTTGCTTTTAGTTTTTTTTATCACGTTTGTGGTCTGCATTAGAAAGTTTCTGGTGTGTTTATTAAAGACTAGTGATCTGCATACCGATAACTCCTAAATGCATATCATAAACACAATAATAAACTAAAATACATTAAAAAAATGCGATTGATATACTGAGCTCTACAAAAATAACTTGGACCAAAGTTCATGTTGCTCTCCGCCTCCGTGAACTCCATCTCATCCATCCCTTCCCCCCTGTATTCCAATGCAGAAACGCCTTCCTCTTCATAAGGAGCTTTCTTCTTCTCCGTCATGTTTTTCCATTCTTCACCAGAGATCTATCTTTGCAACTTGCCAATCAGACCCAACTCCGGCTATGAGAACAGATAATAAACGACGAGATGGGGAGGAACATGGAAGATGTGGAGGATTTTGTCGATCCCTGCATCCACGAGGCCTTTGACTCCAGCTTGGGATTCGTCAAACCATCCCGCAGCGAACGCCTCTCTCTCCGTTGCCGCCTTATTCTCCCCTCTTACCATCACCATGGATCGTAGGAAAGAGAGATCGAATTCCAACTCAGGCGCAGGCGCTGCCTCAATCGTCGTCGCCGCACATGGCCCATCCGATCTTAGAGTTCAGACCTAAGACGATGTGGTTGTGGCATCTATCTCTGACTGAATGGTGGAATCCATGTCTCCCATGCGGCGAAGGAGATCATCGGGACGCGATTGTGTATGACTGGGAACGCTGTCGGAGTGGAGAAGCGGAGAGGCGAAGAGTCTCCGGCAAGGGAGAATGTTTTGATTTTTCAGGGAAAGCCGGCTACAAGGGAGATGGAGAACCGAGATCCAACAAGAGGGTGAAGGAGTGGCTGCGACTCATTTGAATCGGCGCCGACGCCGGAAGGAAGAAGAAACGTCAGGAGGATTGTCGACCCAACGTCGGAGGAAAGAAGAACGACGGGGATGATAGGAGATCGACAGACGACAGGGGATGAGAGGAGATCGAAACAGGACAGCTGGGATTGGAAATTAATTTTTTAATTTTATTTTGTTAATTCCCCTTTTTACCCCGTTGTTACTGTAACAACAAATAGACTGTTGTTATACTATCCGGAGCCTTTCATATATTAGCTAGCTCAATTGAATTTGTGTTGTCCAGGCACCTTGAAGCCGGAGAGGTATTACTCGTAAGGCCTTTTCTGGCTGGTTTTATGCTGAGAAGGCTATTAGCCCATGATAGGAGTGGCTCGATGGGTTCCAAAAGGAAGCCCCTTTGATTATCAATGTAAAAACAGACACAGGTACAGCACTACTTTTTACGTACAATTACAACTTAATTACAGCTTAGTACTTACCGACTGCAATAGAATTACAACCTTCACACTGGACTGGATATGGACACATTGGACGGTGTTGACAACTCTACAAACTTGGATATTGAATCCATAAAATTCCAACCAGAAACAGAGAAACGAAAAAAGAAGGAAAGACCAATTAATTAAATCACGTGATTAAATATTAAGGTCCCCAAAAGATAGGAATTAGTTACGGGTCCAATATGCCACCACCGTTCTTTCCCTTACCGGAGCTCCGGCCTGTTGACATTCCCGAGACATGATGGTGGAATATTCGTCCATCACCCGCCCTTTCCCCAACCAATTATCGCTGGGCTCCGGCCCCGTTGCTTTGACATATGCGGATATGCCACTCCCTTCTACCATTATTTACACCTTTGACCATCCTATTGCTTTCCACCTTGACCACCATCCCACAACTTTGGAATCAATTTGTATACTACCATACTCTTTTCTTCCCAAAAAAAAGTATTAATTGTTTTGCTTCATACATGTAATCCGATTGTTTAGAGCTACACGATTTCAAATGGATTCATCCTCCGGTGATTGAAGAGTTGAATGCGATGATTTTTGTTGATGTTAACAACAATGAGTATCGTCGTAGATATATTCTTCATTAGTTGGTACATGAAAAATTAAAATTTACGCTAGACAGATTAATTTAAAGGTACTAAAAAATAATAAAAAAAATCAAAATTGATGACGACAAGAATCGCCACAAATGAAAAGTTCAACCAGATTAAAAATTAATTTTTTAATGGTAGAAGTAGAGCACACAAATGTTTTTCAAGAATCAAAAGAGAATGTTGTTTTTAATGAGAGAATGTAGCATAAATAATTAATCAAGGAGGCAGGAACCACTAACAAGAGTAGTCAACAATAGGGGTGACTATACGGTCCAATCCGGTTAAATTGGATCAAATTGATCCGGTCCCAGTCCGGTCTTTTCGGGAATATAAGGACCAAAGATTGGATTGGATACCATCCGGTCTTGACCCGGTCCGGTCCTAATTTTATCTTGATTTTAGGTGTTGGGGGTCTCTTATCAGGTCTTTATGCGGTTTTTTACCTCAAATCTAAGCCCAAATATGAGATTAGATTGTTTGCTATCCGGTCCCAGTCCGGTCCCGGTCCGGTTTCGGGTAAAACCAAATAGTCTCGGACCAAGTAGCCAGCACTAGTCAACGAGGCGGGAAGAGGGTCAAAAGTAGGGATGACATTGGGTCGGGTTGGGTCGAGTTTTGTCAAACCCAAACCCATGGGTTTATCTGTCAAAAAAATCCGGGGTAAAACCCGTTGGATTTGAAAAACTCAAACCCAACCCAACCCGCTGGGTATCCGCGGGTTCATGGGTACCCGTGGGTTTTTGTGGTAAAAAATTTACAATAACAAGTTTCTTTCAAAATAAAAGTTTAACATCAATTTTCTCATACAAATTAATCATACAAAAAAACATCAATCTAGAGCATACAAGCAAACCGCAAATGATCAATACAAATTGTTCAAAATTAAAGATAAACATCTATAAACAAAAAGATTAATTGAAAGCTTCTTCCTCATCAACTAAGTTTCTTCACTCTCCACTTCATAATTTCAACTTCATTCTAAACAATTAGAAAAAACAAATTATACATGTCTCCACAAACATAAAGAATATTAATTTTTTAAGGAAAATATATTATTTAGAATATTAAATATACCGAGAAAGTAATTATATGTGTGGGCGGGTACCCATGGGTCAGGTTTACCTAAATCCAAACCCGACCCGACCCCGCGAATAGTGTAGCGGGTTTAAACCCGAACTTGGCCCAAAACCCGTCAACACGGCTTTTACCCATGTTGACCGGGTTGGGTCGGATGGGTACCCGTGGGTTCGAGTTTTGTTGCCATCCCTAGTCAGAAGTGAGAAGTGTCATCCCAGTCGGTGGCATTACCGTAAATAACTCGAAACTCAGGTGCATGCTGTGTGTGTGAGTGTGAGTGCCTGCGCTCTCCATCGGTCTCGTTCAATTCACGCGGATTAGGGAACGACTCGTCATGACCCAGGCCGAGCCAGAGTTGGTCCGAACTCGCGATCGCTTATATACTGTCAGGAAATTTCATTTCCACCTTTCTCGGCAGCAAACGAAAGCTTTGGCAGCGGAGAGATAGCAGAGTTCTCTCACCTCTCGTCTCTCTCTCTCAAAGCTTTCACCTCCCTTTCGACGAAAAACGCAGCAATGGCTTTCTCCGATTCCACCAAGAACTCGCTCATCCCGAGCTTCCTCTACTCTTCTTCCTCCGTCTCCTCCAAGTCCTTCACCCTCTCCAAGCTCCTAAACTCCAGTCCCGCCGCCTCCCACCACTCCCCTTCCCTCATGAGCAAGCCCGCCGCCGCCGGTGGCTTTGCTATCCCCGCTCCCAGCGAGCCCGGGAAGATCGAGATGTACTCTCCGGCTTTCTACGCCGCCTGTACCGCCGGCGGTATCCTCAGCTGCGGTCTCACTCACATGGCCGTCACTCCTCTTGACCTCGTCAAGTGCAATATGCAGGTAACGTTTGCTCAGATCTGGTAGCGTTTTTCTTCATTTCTGGATTTCAGATCCTTGTTTGGCTGCGTTGTTGCTCTTAGCTCGTGGATTGTTTCGTTCTCGCGATCGTCTCCTGCTCGTTTTCCTTGTTAGGTGTAGGTTTCTTGCGTTAAAATTGTCAATTTCTTTGTTGATTCAGATCTACGATTCTGATTGGTTTGACTACGCTTGACCTGTTTATCGATATACCAGAATTCAGATCCGTAACTTTTCTTCGTCGGTCTCGTAGTAGTCGTATTGAAGTCGATTGAGGTTGAATATCTGGAAATCATTTTGATCTGCCCTTCTCGTGTTTGCTGTTCTCGATAGTTTCCGTGTGAATTTCTCGCTCCGATTCCTTGATATGCTATAGATATGTGTTAGCAAGAATGTTTGCTGAGACGAATGGAATTGCTGTTTTCCAGATTGACCCTACCAAATACAAGAGCATCTCGTCTGGCTTCGGGGTGTTGCTCAAGGAGCAAGGTGTAAGAGGTTTCTTCAGGGGATGGGTGCCTACTCTCCTTGGTTACAGTGCTCAGGGCGCCTGCAAGTTTGGCTTCTATGAATTCTTCAAGAAGTACTACTCTGATATTGCTGGCCCCGAGTATTCTGCCAAGTACAAGACCTTGATCTACCTTGCTGGTTCTGCCTCTGCTGAGGTGATTGCTGACATTGCTCTTTGCCCGTTTGAGGCAGTGAAGGTTAGAGTGCAGACTCAGCCTGGGTTCGCCAGAGGTCTCTCTGATGGTCTGCCCAAGTTCGTGAGATCTGAAGGTGCTTTGGGGTATGTGCTTCTATTCGACTGAATGAATTGTTTAATATCCGTTGCTTCTTTTTCGAGTGAATGAGTTGTTTAATATCCATCACAGCTCGTCGCATTCCTGACATTGTCTTTTACTGTTATCATGCAGATTGTACAAGGGTCTTGTTCCTCTCTGGGGACGCCAAATTCCTTGTAAGTGGACCCCTTACCTACTTTTCTTTAGTAATTAGTGCTCTTTATATTGTGTTTGAAACTAGCCTTTAGTATCTGAATCGAAGGTTAGGCAGTTGTAGTATATACGGAAGACTGATGATAATGAGATTTTGTTGCATTTCAGCTGATTTTGCATCCAATCTCCATTAAGTTTTGTTTGTGTTTGTGTATGAAATGTGTGGTCATCCAAGTTTGACTTGAACCGTTATCCTGTGCCACAAGGTTCAAATTCCTTGTCAATGGAGTCCTGGAAACTGTTTTTCTTTCAGTAATTTGTTATCCTCGTTTTCTCTTTGATAGCGGCTTGTAGTATTCTAGACTATTTTATAGTTATGCTGATAGGAAGAGAATGCTGCTGTTGTATAGATTGTGAGCTGAAGTATTTCGAGGTTTGGTTGCGTTCAGCTGGTCTTTTGTTGTCCAATTTCCATCAAATTAGTCTTGTTTGGTATCTGAAATGTGTGGTCAGCAGAAATTTCATTAGCCTGGGCCATTAGAGTTATTCTTTGCCCGTATAAACACAATGATTTCTCTTATTCAAATTTGCTCTCGGTTCTGGTCGCTTTGAGATAAATGGAATAATGCTGATGTGAATTGCTTATGTATTGAATGCTAAATTCAAAGAAATCAAATGTCATCCTGCATCTATCTAACTTAAAATTGGCAGACATAAGTAGAGTCTTGTCAAAGTATGATTACGTGACATTCAATGTTACTTAGGATGGGATTTGGTTAAGTCAATTTCATGCTGGTACCTATAGCAGTGATCCTCCCTCTTTGTGTTGGTAGTTTAGTTGTCTGTCAAAGTGTTTTGACTGTTTATCTTCCTATGCAGACACCATGATGAAGTTTGCTTCCTTCGAGATGATTGTGGAGCTCATCTACAAACATGCAATCCCCCAGCCGAAGAGCGAATGCAGCAAAGGACTGCAGCTTGGTGTGAGCTTTGCTGGTGGGTATGTTGCTGGTGTTTTGTGCGCAATTGTCTCCCATCCAGCTGACAACCTTGTGTCTTTCCTCAACAATGCCAAGGGAGCTACCGTTGGTGATGTGAGTCCTTGGTTCTGCCCTGTGAAGCTTTGCTGAGTATACTTATTCCAAATCGTTGCTGACCATCACACTCTTTTCTGCTGCTACAGGCTGTGAAGAAGATTGGGATGGTTGGTCTGTTCACTCGTGGGCTTCCTCTGCGTATTGTCATGATTGGAACTCTCACTGGAGCTCAATGGGGTATCTATGATGCATTCAAGGTTTTCGTTGGCCTGTAAGTATCTGTTTCTAGTGCCTTCGTTTGTCAGTTATCCTGATTCAGTAAGTATAATTTGGGAACTGATTTCCGAACTGTTTGGGTTTGGCAGGCCAACCACTGGTGGTGTTACCCCTGCACCAGCTGCACTTCCTTCTACCGAGACTGCAGAGGCCTAGGACGATGAATTGAAGATCTGATCGATTTTGGTTGCTTTCTGTGAAGTTTGGTAAAGAGCTATAGGACAAATAAGCGGGAACTAGAAGGTGGATTCATAGCCTTAAATGACACTGTTGAAGATTTACTCCCTTTTGTTGGGTAAGATACCCAGACGTTATAAGCCATTTTTGTCGAAGTTGACTATTCTAGGTTTTGGATTTTGAGGGCGGGGGATGTTTCTGCGTCCCTTGGGAAATTTGATGCAGACAAATGCATTTATTTGGTTAGTAAAAAGAAAAGGGTAACCTTGGCTACAATTGGTGTGACTAGGATGCGTTTGCACAGCACAATTTTATTCAATTCAAATGGTAGCTTACTGCGCTTATGCAATGTGATTCCCGTTTCAGCAGCTGTCTTATGGAGGTTGTTTTCTGGTTCTTGTTGGGCAAAATTTGGTACTGTAGGAGGATGTGAGCTGAAGCCTATAGTCGTTATGAACCTGCCGAACTACTTGCAAGGAATTTATTTTCTTCTAAGCTCCACAGCAGTTCAGTTGTATACTGCTCACCAACGGCATGTTAGTATCAGCAGAAACTGGAAACATTGGCATCTCAGTAGCGAAAACGATCCCAGGATTTGTTCCTCAAATATTTCATAATACAAGAGGGCAAGCTTGCATACCTGAATAGAAAGATATCATTCATACACAATACAAGGATTAAATACATAGATAGATACGATGCCAAATCATATGACGACCCCAAAATCTCGGCAGGACAAAGAGAAGAATGAAAATGTACTCTTCCACAATGGTCATGTAGATGTAGTTTAACTAAGACCTTCCCTTCCCGCAAGTCTTGCCTTACACTCTCAGTATAAGATCCAGCTGGAATCATACAGAGACCCTCCAATCGCGATTAAAAACCAAAGAATTTGAGCTACCAAGTGCTAATATACACTACTACCATTCTTCATCATCGTCTCTCTTTATTGCTGTTCAATAAAAATACTTTGGGTCTCTGACACAAACAGGGAACTCGGATGGGGAGATCTTAAATACAAGATCAAAGGAGGTTGATCGTGAAGGACACATAAGGGTGTCCGTCGACATCGCCTCCCAAGCCTGCCATCCCTGCTTCATCTTCTGATTTCCAGAAGGTGCTGCATAAATCAAAAGAAAATGAACCATTTCAACAAAGAGACTAGTCACCCATCAACCACAATAAATCCAGCATTGCCTGTAGGACCATAATTTGCCTTCTTCTGATTCAAATACGCTACCAAGCATGGACGGAACCTCACCTGTTTGCAGCATCAGACAAGCCCTCAAGGATAGAGCGTATTTTCTTCTCACTTTTGGTAGCTGGGGCTACAACACATGACTGCAAGAAAGCATCCAAACAGTCCATAAGAAGGCCAACCATTGAGAAAGAAGAGAGAGGTGCTATGTAAGACAATATTTACCAAGAAAGACGGTGGTAATCCGTATCTCAAAATGCTTTCTGCAAATATACGCACAGCACAGAAGTGCATCCATGAGCTGAAAACCTGCGGGGAAAAGAGGGAGCAGGAAAAGAGGATCAGCTATCAACACTGTAGCGTAATTGAACATTTGAGGGACATATGTCAGGCCCAAAACCAAAAAATTAGGCTGAAACCTCCATCTTCTTTGAGAGAGATCATCAAACCCAAAATAGTAGACTGACAAACAAGAGCTAGAAATAAACAAATTTCAGACTGAAACCTCATGGTTCTCCAACTTTGGTTCTGGTAGGCACATGTCATCTAGCAATTGCCTAAATCTCACTTGCCAAAAGATAGATTCTATCTCTTCCAATTAACTAACAGTAATCTTTAGCTCTTGACAAAAAGCTCAAATTCTCGGGTCCACGAAACAATAGATATCAAATTGCAGGCAAAGACCAGGCATTCAATCACTATTTAGCACGGGTGCACTCTCAAATTATAATAAAAGAAAGCAAGGAAAAATATGTTTACCTCCCCATAGCTAGTGTAACACCATTGCAAAAGAGAGCCTCTCAAACTTTCTTGATCTTGAACTAGTTTGTCCATCTCTTGCTTCCTACCTTCCTGTGCTTCGGAGCTATATTCAAAGTCACGAATCTGAAGCACATGATCAGAACAGCCACATCAGCAAATTCCCAACTAAATCCTTCGTTCAACACATGAAAACACATCCCAAGCCACATGATGACTACAAGTAGGATTAAAAAAATTGTTACATGCATGAAATGACACTATATCAAATGCACGGGAACATATTACTCACTTGGAACCCCTTCTCCCGAGAAGTTGTTCTGAAATTGTCTGCCACACGACGGAATAGCGTTACAGTGTAGAGAGCATATTCATTATCTTCAAACAGCTTCTTCGACGACCTTGGAACCTGAAAGAGCCGAACAGGATAAGACGCAAAAGCACAAATACAAGAAAAGAAGTAACAGTGACTCAAGTACTGGAACGATAAGCCTAAACCTAGAGTTGTCAGTCCTAGAGATCTCGAGTGATATAGAAAAAAAGCAACTCAACTACTATTCAAGCTGAGAGACATGGATCTTACCACATAATTAGTCAGAGTTTCATAGCTAGCCAACCAGTCCTTCTGTGAATACTTGGGGACAACTGCCAGAAGGGTTATGAGATGTTCAGAGGAAATTATATCTTCAGGTTTCACCAAACTGGACAGATCGCGAACAGCCAAGCTGAACAGACAAATCAAAAGTAATGCCTCCCTTAGTTAAGAAACTGAAAGCTGTACTTCTTGTACACACAGCAATCAAATGGAAAAGATTGTACCTTCCACTTTGCTTGCGATTAATAGCATTGAGCTGACTGCGAACATTATTATACTCAGCTAGACGAACCTAAAACAGGAAGCGGGAGATCTCCTTCAGTGTTCACAAAGTTCGAATCCAATTACACAAAAAGTTCCAGCAAACCAGCAGTCAGTCACCTTGAGATCATCTTCAATCTTCACTACTGAACTATGAATTCCATCAACGATCTCCTTCAGAGGAGACATCGTAGGATACTTCGCTTCATCCCAAACAAACCTATCATCGCAACACAGATAATTCAGTCACCAATATCACAGAGATCCAATTCTTCCAAAAAGAACCAAACTTTCCCATTGAAGGATCGAACTCAATTATTCACCTGGTAAGGTACGAATCTACGGGCACACCATCAACAGTGAGAGCATTACTTTCTGCGCCGGAAACTCTCTCCAAATCCTCGATCTGCCTCCTAATCTTGTGCGACACCGACTCTAAGAAGCTATTGGACTGCCCTCGTCGAATCAAACACCACATAAGCTATTACGAAACCGAAAAATTGAGAAGGTAACATACGAAAAGATATCAACAAACCTTGAGCAGGTCATCACTGAGGGAGAGGAGCGAATCAAGGGTTCCCACGCGGAGATTAGGAATGCTAAACTGAAACGGGAAAAGAGGAAAAACACGGAAGATGTAATCTGGGCAGTTCGAAAAGGTGGGATCGGAAGCAGGGAAATCGCAAGAGATAAGAGGATGGTTTACTCTGTAGAGGGGAGTGTCGAAGGAATGGCGGGAGATTTGGTCTTGCAGGCGATTCCATAGCGGAGAAGCAGAGTCCTTCACCGGCAGAGAGACCACCCAGTATCTCGACGCCATTGATGATCGGAGGTGAAGAAATTGCTGTTCGCCAAGGGCGGATTAGAGAGAGAGAAGAAAAGGAAGAACTAAGAAGAGATGTGGAACTGGGAAGGGAAGGAACGTAACGTGCGTGTGTAGATCGCTCGCCTTCCTGTGACGCTCTGCACCGTAAGGCCTTTCCACGGACCACTTAAATCATGCCAACGCATCCTCGTCGGAAGATTGAATGATTAAAACAATCAGCTGAAATTATTGTCGCCGGCGGTTAAAAGCGAAGCCAGTGGCAAAAAACTTACGCCCACCGTGGGGCTCGAACCCACGACCACAAGGTTAAGAGCCTTGCGCTCTACCGACTGAGCTAGACGGGCTTGTTGGTGGATTAGTGATTTTGGTTAATCCGTAGTCGTATTTAATGACGTAACATTTAACAATCAGTGAAACTACAATATTTTGACTAAATGTTAGATACACTTAGCAATATACATCAACAGGGCCGGCCCATAATATTGAGAGGCCCTGTTCCAAAATAAAAAATGTGACCCTAAAATTTTTCCCTCAGATTTATGAAAAATAAAACTCATTAAATAATAATAAATAATACATAAATAATAATCGCCTGCTTCTCCTTTCCTTTTATGGCTGACTATTTAAGGATGGGATGGACCGATGGAGTTGATTCGGAAGAGTTGAACGTTGGATGAAAGTTTGGGAAGGTGAGTTAATTAGGATTAATACTATAGCCTACGTGAACGTTGCAGCCGTTTTGGGAAGGTTGTTAGGAATTTTCGAATTAATTGCGGATTGCAATTTGGGAAAGAGGAGAAGTGGCACCGCTGGAAGCATGAGGAAGACAAACAGTCGGCGGTTTTTCCATTTTTTCATATTAATTTATATATATACATATAACTATATGGGCTGATCTGAGGCCCCAAAAGTTTTGTGGCCCTGTGCTGTGGGTCTGACCAGCACAGGGCCTGGGCCGGGCCTGTACATCAAAATAATATTTTTTTTGTCATTCTATCTAACTTATACTGAGTGCATCAAAGAACATCATCATTTTAATGAAACTTGCCTCATTAGCACTCGCATGCTCACACTCGCTCATTCTTTTAGTTATGGGATGAGTATGTTCTTACAGTACTAGTATATTTGCTCTAGGCTTGCAAGTTGGCAATAAATTGGAAAAGGGTCAAGTTCGGTGTTTGTGTGGGTTCTTGTAACGATGATTTTAGTAATGTGAAGCGTTCATTCGGTGTTTTGACTTGATTGAACAAAACACAAATTATATGTAGTTACTCTCATTACAAATTACTTAGTTTAGTTAGCATATTGTCACTATAACCATATTGTTACATTTCTTAAAAAAAAAAACATATCGTTACATACCTTACTCATGAATTGGTGATCATGTGGACACTTATAGCTTAACTAAGGTTATGTCAGGTTTTTGAAGTTTGCACAACCTATTTACAAATTTTGCTTAACTCGGTAGTTGACATTTGAATCCACAATCAAACAATATAGCTATAGGTTCCCACAAACTAACATACATTTTTGTCTCTATGAGTATTAATTACATGATTGTATTTTTAAGAAAAACAAAGGATTGGACTTAGCTACATTGCATACACTTGAAAAGTTACGTTCCCACAAACTACATTTTGCTAGGAAGCTAATAAAGCTAGTTAGCTAGTGTTCCACTTTATTACAATTAATACATACGGCATACCAACATGTCTCTGTCTGTAAATGTATGAGGGCCACAGTCGGTAAAGAGACATTCATCCAAAACAATTGCATCATCCAAAACACACAAATATATATTTGTGCAATGCAAATTACAGATAGTCATACTGCAGAGGCAAACATATATATTCCCCAGGCTGGGCTGGCTAATAGAAGTCATCAAGGGAAAGCGCCTCAATGGAACCAAAGCTCTCCAGGTGGTTCCCGGCTCTGGGGAAGTTGGTCATCGATCCACCCAAAAAATCCAAGGGAGAGTCGTTGGAGAAGGTGGTTGTGCTGTCGTAAATGAAGGACAAACTGGCAGCCGCGCTCTCCATTGCATTACTATCGTAGTAGAGGGCTGAGTTGGTCTTTCCAGCAATGTGGTGGTGGTGGGGATGATCAAGGTCCTGAACCAGGATGTGGTCGCTCATGACATCACTGTTCATTATGTCTGCAAATATGCTCTCCTCCTCAGAAGCCTTTCTAGCTTGGATGACCTACCAAAGAGAAAACATTGATCACATCAGAATGATACGCTTAACATGAATAATTTATATATGTGTCTATATTGTGGCAACGTTCTTTCTTGCTGAGGAAACTTAATTACATACATAGGTCTGGTGGTTTTGGCAGTCTTGGTAAAGTGTGATGAAGTCTCCTGATTGCAGTCCATGTGCATTAACAAAGTCACCTGGTCATATAAGGCAATTGATTTTGAAGGTCAGGATATTATCAATCAGTTACCAATTCAAGCATAGGGAAAGAGGCCGGGTATGGTGGTTTGTTTTTACCTGTCTTCTCCAAGACATACATTCTGCTGTTGTTGTTAGGCCAATACCTGAAGTAGACAATTAATACAGAATGAGCTCTGTTATACATTATTCATCTCATCCTTGTTAATCAAGTGCATTCGACTAGCTAGAAAGCCAGCTATAGCTACTTGAGTTAGTTTTCTTCCTGAAATCGATCTCATTTTGCAAGCCCTGCAGCATTTAATTTAGTTTGGGAATAACTGGGAGGGGAATATATAATAGAGAAGGTAATTACCTGTACTTGAAGGTCCAGACATGGGTGGCATCCAAGTCATACATGGTGATGGACATGCCTTCCTTGGACTCCAGCACAGGGAGGTGGGCCTCTGCTGCTTTCTGAATCATTCATTATATTATATATGCAATCACAAAAGAACGTAATTAATGTTGAGGAAGTAGGCTAGCTAGTGACGATCCCAACATGAAAGAATGTCCAAAATAGGAGAAATTATCTCTTTAAAAGAACAAGTTACAACTTTACTGTTTCTTAGAGTCACATCCCGCCACTGTTACTCTTTTTGCTTTTTTGGCCCTCTTGTATTTGACTGACATTTTCTCTGACGCGTTCAGGCGGCTCCCATCAAACCAATGGCACTCTTGTAATTAGCTCTCTACTCCTGTCCCATTGCATTTAATTTCATCCATTACTCTCCCTCTCTCCTTCTCTCTCACCATCACTTTTCCTCTTTCAACTCACCAATCCATTATTCTCCCTCTCTCCTTCTCTCTCAGTGACTGAAAACTGATTGAGCAATAGAAGGAGAAGAAAGAACGTGAAAGAAGAGAAGAGGGGCAGCCAAAGAACTCCAGTGAGTACTTCATCCCCTTACGGATCTCCTCATTCCGCCCCTGCAACTCCCCTTTCCTCTGCCCAATCTCCTCCCTTCACTACTCCCGCTCCCGATTCCCCTGCCTTCTCTGTTCCCACAGTCTCCCCTGTCAAATCGCCGCCGGCGTTACATCCTCCACCCACCATACCGTCTCCTCCGATCAGTCCCACCGTCGCTCCTCCTCCGTCAAAAACCAAGCCCCTTCGTCCTCCTCCTACACCCACTGCAAAATCCCCTGTTTCATTTCCTCCTCCTCCCCCTTCGATGCCGAGGTCGCTTCCTCCGATGACGTCAGTTTCCCCTACAATGTCCCCGCCATCACTTCCTCCTCCTCCTCACCCAATCAGTCCCGCCGCCGCTCCTCCTCCGCCAAAATCAAAATCAGTTCCTCCTCCACCGACGGCGGTTTCCCCTGCATCATTTCCTCCTCCCCCTTCGATATCGAGATCACTTCCTCCTATGAAATCAGTTTCCCCTGCCATTTCCCCGCCGTTACTTCCTCCTCCGCCCGCAGCCGTGTCACCTCCACCGACGATGAGTCCCACCGCCGCTCCTCCTCCGCCAACGGCGGTCTCCCCTGCATTACTTCCTCCCCCGGCATCCCTTCCTCCTGTTACGGCTGTTTCCCCTACAACATCTCCACCACCATTACTTGCTCCTCCAGCCCATGCTTCTCCCCCTTCCAAATCAAGATCCCTTCCTCCTCCCACCGCCGCCTCCCCTGCAGGGGGGAGAGCCATCCAAACCTGTATATCAACAGCTAGGTTTTAGGAGAGAAGGCTGAGGCGGTTGCGGGAGGCCCCGTCGACAGAGTTGCAGGCGAGGCTGGAGAAGACGAGAAGACATGATTAGTGAGAGAGAGCATGTGGTCGGCGGCGGCCAGGGGTGGTGGGGAATGGGGATAGTGTATGGGTTTTTGCTTTGTGTTAAAAGAGGTGAAGGTTAGATTCGGTATTCCATGTGGATGACGAGAGGTTCAGCAGGATTGAGTTGCCCAAGGAATTGCCAGGGGTAGGGGAACCAAGGCGCATTTCCATCTCGGAGACGAAGGTCACAGGTTCGCTTACAGTTATGTATCTTACTTCCAGATCTTATGAGATACTGGTAAAGAAAGGGCTTGGTTCCGCTGAGGATAGTTGGGTAAGATTTTGTAGCATGGTTCGAGTTGATTTGGAGTTGATTTGGGAGGATGGTTTGACAGGAAGTTTGGAGCTTGGGGAGGATGACGAGCTGTGCTTCTATGATTGCAAAACCCATGAAATTGAGCGACTTGGGTTGCCAGGTATGGGGCTACGAAACCGGGGCGCAGCTTATGCTGCTGATTACACAGCGAGCTTAGTTTTGTTGGAACCAGAATTCGGTGCAGTTCCTTGCTCAGACCCTGTAACGGGATATTCCTTAATAAGGCAAGATATGAACTTTGGTGTTATGTGATGCTTACTATGTTTGGATCTTTAGCAAGCATTGTTCCTCCATTATGTTGCTTTGCCTTCATTTTGCAGCAAGGAATTTTTGATCTTTTTTTTGCAGTAAGGAATTGTTTGGTGCTTGTGAGTTTGATATGTGATAGGGGCAGCCTAGCTAGAGCCTTGATGTTAATTGTCTTCTGTTATATCTGATTTCTTGTTCCTGTTTGGTTCATTGCCATCCAAACAAAGGGAAGATCTGATCATTATGTTTATTGTTGCAGCAGTTCAAGGAACTCCGATTTGGAGGATGAGCATTTCAGGTGGTCTCTTGAGCAAATGGACCTGTTCAAGAAGGGTTTCGCTTTGGTAAAGTAAATGTTCTTCAGCATCAGAGATCCAATTATGTGTTGCTTAAGCTTAATGTGAGGGTGAACCCATTTGCCGTCGGGGGAGGATATTCTGGATTAACTTATGGGATTATTCGGCAAACTATCTATTTTGCATTTATACAATCCATGGTTTCTTAGATTTACATTGTTGTTACTGGCGGTGGTGGTGGTGGTTAATAATTTACAGTGGTGGTGGTGGTTACCGGCGGTGGTAGAGGTGAGTTGATGATCTCCATAATTATGTATGGATATGAAGTCGTTTCTGATTTAGTTTTAGAGTTTTCACATGTAGATTGCTTTTGTTCACCATCCATATTCATCTCCCTCCATGACTCTAGAAGAAGATGACATTTACAGAGGATTCAACGAGAAAAATGAAACATGAAGCTCTTTCTCAACCCACCTGCACCATGACGCTGGTGTGCAACTCGACCTCCCACTTACTTATTGACGATGACACACACAAAGTAGAGCAGAATAAGAAAAGAAAGGACTCGGTGAAGAAGAAGGCCGAGGATGAGGAGATCCCAAAGAAGAACATGGAGGATTCGAAGGTAGAATCTAATTTTTGGTTTTGGCCTATTGTATTTTATTGGTTTGATTCATCATCTTCCCCATTCTTTTCAGATCAAGGGATGCCAACGAAACTAGACTATGGCTATGGAAGTGAAACAAACAACGAGAAACATGAACTCTGTTTACACAAACGGGAGAGGCAGCTAGGGCTGGGTTAGTAGTGGTGGTAGGTTTCTAGCCTCTCCTTCATTGACATCCGCTTTCAGACTTCCTCTTCGCTTACTTGATTTTTGGGTCTGCATCCTGATGTTTCAGTATCTTACTTCATGAATTTTTTTGTCCCTCTCTTTTCTCGCTTTGCAGATCTGCTTTCTCTCTTCCTTTTGTTGGACGATGAAGCCGGCAGAAAAGACGCGAAGGTGAAGAAGAATATATGGTTTTTCCTTTGGTTCGTTATGGAAGGGTCGGGTGACATGACAGGGGCTTTTACGCTTCTTCTTTCTTCTCTTCCCTAACGATTCGATTGCCTAACGGAGGTGGACCGGAGCGGTTCTGATCTTCTTCTCCAACAGAGGCAGTCATCCCCGATAGAGCAATCGGGGAGGGTTGGCAGGTTTGTCGTTCGTTTCTAGGGTGGGTCGGCAGCAAACTGAGAACGTAAAAGAGGCGGCTGGCTCCGGTCTTCTTCAGTCATTCTGGACAGAGCAACATAGGCGGATGGCAGGTTTGTCTATTGTTTCTAGGGTGGGGCGGCAGCGAATTGAGAAAGTAACATAGGCGGCTGGCTCCAATCTTCTTCTCTTCCCCTTTCTCTGTTTTTCATCTTTGTGGATTTACTTTCTCTCTTTCTCACTGTTTTGTTGGACAGCAAAGGCGACGAAGAAAAAGTGGAAGGTTGCGGAGGAGACACAAGAAGACTGCGAAGAAGAACGGTAAGGGAACTGAGAATCGAGCAGACTTCTCTTCCAGAAAAGGAGAGGGCGAAGAATAACAAAGAAAATCAAACCTCTTCTCTTGCAGGAGCTGACAGGTAAGGTCTCTTTCCTTTCTTATTGTAGGAAACTCTTATACAAAGTCTCAAGTTTTTATCCTTTACTGTACCATGAAAATGCCATCAGACCATCTCGATCACCATTAATCTATATTTATCATGATTTTGGTGAGTTGGAGTCACACATTTGTCATTATGAAATGATATTGTGTCATGTTTGCTGTAAATTGACTGAACTTTGGGTCAACTTTACTTTAGTATTTTTTCTTGGTTTAAAACTTCTCTTCAAACCCAATTCACGTTTGAGTAATCAGTTCCTTTCATCTATTGCCTATCAACGAACGCCCTGCCTTTATCATATCCTGAGATTCAGTTCCTATGCACTGTCGATTGGTGTCTTTGTACTTAATCCCGGACCTTAATTTATATATTTCACAGTCCAAGCAATATGGAATCAAAACTAATTGTGTCCTTCTGATGCTACAGATTCGATTTTACAGGACTCTTCAAATGCTGCAGCTTAGTAACAAGCTCAAAAAGGACAAACGCCAGAGAAACAGTATGGAACAACTAATATTAGTCGAGGGGAGAATTGAGTGGCAAGAAATCAGGCGAATAATAGCATGCTTATATCGGTGGTAAGTTATTCTGCCTAACTCAGTACGTACATGATCTAATTTATTCAACTCTTAAAAGTTGATGAAAACTTTATGCATCTATTGATTTGTTCTCTGATGCAGATTCTTGACCTGCTGGATCATGTAAGTTGGTCTCCCTGTTCTCTATTTAGTTGCTGTTGTTAATGGTATTTGAAGCTACACATGCATTATCTGCTGTAGGAAATTTTAATAGCTGTTTAAAAGCGATTTTGCTGATCCATTATGTTGTTGAAGAGTGATAGATCACTGAAGTAATTGAGAAAATAGATTCGAAGACTAGGAAAGCAATGAAGAAGAAACCCTTACTGCGAAGAATGGTGTTGTTCTTGAGTGCTATATTCAGGCAAGTATACCATCAAATTTGATCTCTGAGTTTTCCCGGGTAGGAAGGAACTGAAATATTCCATGAAACTATGTCCTTTCTTTAGGAATGGTGTTGCTGATGGCATGTCTTTTACCTTTTCGGTTCTCACTAGATGAAACTCGGTCTTTGGAGTAAAGCACAGTTTGATGATCACCTTTTTCATCACCTCAGTCCCAACTGGTGGAGGTCGTGTACCATGGATCTGTGATGTCGATCATGCAGTAGTTTCTTCAACCCTTTTCCTTCGTCTTTTGATTCATATGCTTTTACTGGTTTATGGTTACTTTACCTTTACAATCAATTTTATAATAAGAGTCTTAAGGGTTTACTTTTCCAGTTGATGTGCATCCCAGGCACATATATAAGCTTTATTATGCATTTGCTTGAGACGGTGATAACTGAATGGAGGGAAACTAACTCACAAAACCTATTGTGCATTTTTTTTAGAAAAGAATAATCCTTGGAAAATGTAGCGCCAAAACATAGAGGGAAGCAGGAAAGAGAGAAAGGATTGACAACTTACATTGAGAGGAGACGAATTAATGGTATTTGCTGATAGTTGTGGTGAGCTATTTACTTTAACATTGGCTTTCCAGTTTGCACTTCTTACTGCTTGGTTGAGTCCTTAGGTCTTGTTCGAGTTGGGAATGGTGTAGTTATTTGCTCTACCATTGGTTAGTAGCTCCGACACTAGATATGAGTAACAAACTAACGATACCCTTCTCTTTATCCTGTGAAGATTGCACAATTTACTCTTTGTGCTTCTTACTGCGTTTGTACGTCCTGCCGTTTTTGGATGGTTTTTCATTTCTTCATTGACGATCCTAACATTAAGTCCATTTCAATTTGATGACAGGTGGTTGGTTGTGATGGAAATCAATGAGAGTTGTCAGAAGGCAGCTTTTGTTGGATCTTCCGTTAGTGGCTATGCACACTAATGCGTAAGTATTTTTCTTCTTGATTCTAATTGTCTATCCTCTCATAGGTTATGCCACAGCTGGATTTTAGTTTTAACCTGTTCAAGAATGCCATTTTTACCATTGCTGCCAAATAAAACTTCTCTTCTCTTCAAGTATGGCAATATTGTTAGACTGTGATCCTTTTCGTGTCGCTGTTGTAAATTCTTTGGCTTGCTGATTTATGCTTTAGTCTTAACTTGGTTTGATATACCTAATTCCAGTTGTTAATAGCCATTTCTTGATTCAAACTGATTACCTCTTTCCATTTCAGATGTCTCCCTCTTTTTAAATTGAACGGACAAGACTGTCGCGGCTGGAAATCACTGCACATGAGAAGCCTCACCCTTGGAACAAAGGTCTTTATTGCTCTCTCTCCATTTTCTGTTCACAATCATGATGCATCTTTTTACTTCTTTAGTCTCTGTTTGGTTGCTTTCCGTGCGGGACCAGAAAATACTAATTGATGATGGAGCTAGGATCATGTTTGCTTTGTTTGTTTCCAATTGATTGGATTATAGAGGGAGGTTGATTTTATAGCTTTTTACAAGACTATTAAATCACACAGTATACATTCATGTAGTTTTGATTGGCTTTAGTTTGTTCCTTTTTGCAAGTTTTCAGCTTCCCAAATGTTTTCCCCAATTGGAACAATACCTTTTGTTTCGTTAAGTTTAATGCTTTGGACCTTGGCAATATCATTTGTTTGCGTGTTTGTTTTATCTAATAAGAGTCATGAGGTTTTATATAATTCTTCTTTGATGGCCTCCATCTTGAGATTTTCTGTGACTGTTTTTGGATGGCGGTGAAGTGTTGGCCCCATCAGCGACTCTGGAGGAGATAGCACAACGCATGTTATCTGTGTTGGATGTCATTTCTAGATATTGTGCTCATTGAACATGATTTACAATTGTGCTCGGTTAGTTTGGTAATCGGGGATGTTCGGATGCAGTGCTGACTTATTCCCATTGATGTCTTGTCTTTCTTTCCAGCTCCAATGACACCTCTTTCTCAGACCATCCAAGGGTTATGGTCTGTTGGGTTTGCTGCGGTTAGTGTGGAAAAGGCATATATCGATACTTTCCTCGCAGTTCCACCTGTACATCCAGCAAGAGAGACAAGATGAAAGAAAAAGAATGAGAGGCATCACTGATTCTGGTATTCAGGTAGTTCTTTTCTGTTTTTAGTTTCTCATTTCTGTAGTTAGTTCATGTTCGATTGGATTCTATTTGTATACAAGTTGCCTTCGACCTGTGCTAATGTATGTTACAATCTCAACTCTGTTTATTTCTCATGCTCATGCCTCTTCATCTTTTCAATCACAAATAAAGTTAAATCTAGGAAGAAACATTGTATAATTTCTTTCAATCGTAACGCGAAATCATGGTTCATTTCTTTTCGAGAGCTGCATTCTATCATCTCCTTATGTTGTGATTGCAGGCCAGTTTTAGAATTTTGAGTTAATTGTGGGTTCAATGTTGGTCTCCTTTATGTTACATTGGTTTTGTTTGGGTCTTTGCTTCCTGTTCTTCTCTAATGATACGGTTCAGTAGAAATTCTTATCCATCACCACATAAATCCAACAAAGGTTGACTTTTTCAATTATAGCTCCTCTTCTTGCTTTTTGTGGTACAAGATTTGGTTTTGTTCTGCCTCAGTTCATGGTATATGTTCCCTCTTAATTTATAATCCCATTTACAAGTAATGTGGAGTAAGAGCCTCATGTACCTGGATCAGGAACTAAAACTGAAACTTTAAAGGTTTTGTTTTGTTTACAGTCAATGGTTACTAAAGCAGCAGCTGAAATTCTGCAATTCTGGAATGTCTTCCCCTCCACGAGATAAAAACAAACTCGATGATTGTGCAGGTTATGCTTTAATTAACCCTTATTATTTCCGGTATTGATTTCAACTATCTCTGTTAAACATTACTTTGGTAATAATTCACGTCTTTTGCACTTTGCACTTTTGTTGATTACTAATTTCAAGGAAAAATATTTATGTCCTCCTTGATTACAGTAGGATGCTTTTAATTTCAAAACACCGCACCTGCATCAGGTTGCTTAGAACTGTTATGAGCCTGGAAACTACAGGCCAGTCACTTTACTGATACTGTATTTATGGTCTGCAGCGTCTGCTTTTGGTCAAGAATTATTGTTTAACACATTGATCATGGATAGGGATTTTTAGTTCTAGAAAGAGGCATGACATCAGGTCGCTGAGACCAAATTTAAGTTTCTCTAGCTAGCTCCACCTCAACCTCTTTGCCTACTGACATGTAGTGTGGTGATCTCAATTTCATATTTCTGTGTTTATTTCCCTTCGTCTGTAATTAGTGGTGCCATCCGTTTCAATCTTCTAAGATTAGGCGTCTATTAATGGTATGTATTAAAATGAAGATGTTCAATTGATGTTAATCTACTTGGCATGCTAGCCCGTCTTTTCAACTACCTTCAAATACAGCAAGTTGTTGGTGCTCTTCCCAGCAGGTCACTACTTACTATTACCACTCAGTTTTTTTTTATTTATCTTTCTCATGTTTTTGTTAAAACAACTCCCTGATTTACACCATTCATTTTGTTCTTTGCAGCTACCCTTTGAAGCTGACTTACAAGCATCTCTGCCCTTTGATAATCATATGTGGAAGAAGAGATGTCAGTGTTCAACAGCCTGGTTACAGATTGGAGTGTTGCACTACAGGTTAGAGGTAACCCCCAGTGGGGCATCGATAATAATAATAAAAAATTGCATCTGAATGATTTCCTTTGTTTTTTTGTTGATTTTCCGATTCAAGTATTTGTAAGATGCATTCTAAAGGACGTGGTTACGAGAATATGCAATTTTGGTATAACGGTTAGAAAATTTGCATTGTGTTTATTATGTCCGAGGCTGAATCCCTTATTGTTGTGAGAATCTGCAATTTGCTGGAATCTGCTTCTATCTCCATCGCTATAGCCTTGATGCATTTACATGGAATTAATTTATAACTAATGATGTAAACTTGTGTTTATGGACTGCAAATGGTGTTTCATTTCCACATTCCTCAGAGGCTTAGATGGCTGTATGTATTTGATTGATGTCTTAATATATGAAATTTGTGGTTTAGAGAAGATAGAGTTTTACAGATTTCCTGGAATCTGCTCTCGGGGTTTGATAGGAAGGTGGATTAGAAAAACACACCATAATTTGAAATGCCTCTTAAAATCAATGAGAAGGGTAAAGTCAGCGGCTAAACTGCTTCAGAATCTTGATTGGTTTTGTTTTTATTTCAACCGATGATGTCTGAATGCTGAACTGAGCCGTAATTGAGGTCTCATTCAGTCATCACATATTTTAGTTCACAGAAAGTTTGTGCTGTTCCGGAGGGAATGTTAAAGTCATTTTCATGGTGCTTTGGTCCTTCTTTGTAATGACTAGAAGTTTAATTAGATTGAATTTATCATCCTTTTTGTTTTCAGGTTATGGGGGTTCATACCGTGTTGAATTTGTGATCTTTTGGCCAGAACTTAACATCCATTTTGTTTGGAATTGCTCCAGGAAATGATTGAATGGGAGTAGTAAGAGCAGGGTGGACGTGAAGATGCATGATGGTGGCCATGATGCTCATGTTGTAATGCTTCTTGGTGTAGGTGAGAGACACATTGCAGGTATGGATCATATTTATGCCTGTCAAGGAACTTTTGCTTATGGGTTTTTTTAGCTGGTTGATCTCTAGCACCATCAGTGTGATATTATTTAGCTTCATTTGTTTTGATGTTTCATTGGGTTCTTAGGCGTGTGGCTATGC